ATTGCTTTTAATTTTTTCTTTGGGATGAGATATGTTTCCCAGGCTAGTCTCAACTCAAATGATCCTCTTTTCTCAACCTCCCTAGCACCTGGCTATTTAATTCTTTAGTAACTAATTATTGCTTTTCTTGGTTTGTGTGGGTTTTTTTGTTTTTTGTTTTGTTTACTAAATTCTTTCATTTTAGAAACAGGATCATCAGGCATGGTAGGGGGGATAATTTCATTAGTGTAAAGGGGATGATCATATTTTTCTTTATAAATTTTCTTTGACTGTTCCTTGAATTTTCCAGAATTAATTAATTTTTAAAAAATGGTCTCATTTTGTAGTTCAGGCTGGCCTTGAACTTATTTAGCCTATGCTGGCCTCAAATTCGAGGCAATCCTGCAACAGCCTTGTAAGAGGTGGGATTATAGATGTGCACCACCATTCCTGACTGAATTTTCCAAAATTTAAAGCTATTAAAGAACTCAGTATTAGGGCCGGGGATTTAGCTCAGTGGTTCTACCTCTTGCCTCGCAAGCGCAAGGACCTGAGTTTGATCCCTGGTACCAAAACAAAAACAAAAACACCACAGTATTATTTTATCTTGTGTTCACATATGTACTCACTGAACTTCAAAGTTATATAGCTTTTAAAAGTACTCATTCTTATGCATTATGTTTTGTCTCAGTGTATTTGTGTTGGGAGAAGCAATGTTGATTTAATATGTATATTAAAAAACATGGGTAAAAAATTGCTGAACAGGCAACCACTGTGTAAAGGAATAGTCCTACTGTAGTTATTTTTGCTGCAGATTATATTAAAAACAACAATGTGATTGTAACACCATTCATTCATTGTTGGGTGAATGTGGCACAAACCAGATTGTTACAGATTTGTGTCCAAGAAAATTAAGTTACTACCTATAGGACTTGCCAGTGTTTCAGAAAGGTTTTGTGAGTTAGAGTTGGAGTATTTTATTTAGGTTTCAGCTTGCCATTTACCTGCAAGGCTGCCTTAAATTGTATCATTTAATCTCCCTAAATATTTTACCTCATCACATTTTAAGGGTCAGTGAGTTAAGTGCTTCATTGTTATTATTGAGATTGGTTATTATACTAATTTCAGACTTGGCCTCTGTGTATATATTAAAGACTGTAGTAACTTAAAAGCTTTGTTGCCTTTAAAAAAAAAGTAACTTTGATTTTAGTGTTTGGCTTAAATTTAATAATTTAGACTTTTCTGCTAACATTTAATGCATTTTAACTTGATTTTTAAATGTGGTCCTTAGAGGGCTGGGGATTTAGCTCAGTGGTTCCACCTCCTGCCTCACAAGCACAAGGTCCCGAGTTCGATCCCCGATACCAAAAAAAAAAATATGGCCCTTAGAAAAGTATGCCCATACAGTCATCCCTTGGTATTCATGAGGGATTTTTTTTTAGGACCTCTTGAGATACCAAAATCCTTGGATACTGAAGTCTCATATAAATTGGTGTAGATTTTGCAGATAACCTATGCACACTCTTCTGTGTACTTTAAATCATCTCTAGGTTATTCATAATGTCTGAAACAATGTAAACACTATGTTAATAGTCATACTGTATTGTTAAGGAATAATGGCAAGAACAAAAAGACTGTACATGTTCAGTACAGATACAGTTTTTTTTCTGAGTACTTTTGATTTGTGCTTGGTTGAATCCAGAGATAATCATCCATGGGTACAGAGGGCCAACTATTAAATTGAGTGGGCATCTTCATCTGTAAGGATCTAATACACAGATTATTGTTCTTTAATTGTAAATATGCCTCATTCTCTGGTCTTCTAAAATAATTCTCATTATAATGTTTATAAATGGAAATAAAAATGGATGAGTGTCAGAGTTTTGTCCAGAGAATCTGATTTTCATTCATGTTAAGGTGTAGAAGTGAAACAGAAGGCATACAAATATTTGATCCATGGTATGATAGCTTTAAGAACTTTGTTCATTTTTTTTTTAAAGGCAGCATGTTGACTAAGTAGTATCCTTGAAAGTAAAATACAATAGTTTTGAAGATAATAGAACATCTTGATTTTTAAACCTTCCTTTGCCTGTTTTTGAGCTAAAATGCTGTTGATAAAGACCAAGAAAGAGGGGGTTATTGTTATAGGTATATATGTTTATATATTATGCATGAGAATAGAGATTATGGATCATCCATCTACCACAATGCCCGATGTATAGTAGTCAATAAGTATTTCAATGACAAATGTAGTTAGATGGACAGGAGGGAGGTAGTGCTTTTTTTTTTTTCAATACCCTTTGTAGCTCATTAAGTTCATGAGTTGTTTCAAGTATAGGGAGTACTCATTTGTATTGAGGTGTAAAGGTAAAGTATACACTTTGATTGAAGCTTGAAAATTGAGTGATTCTAAATGGTTCTTTGATTAGTCAGTGAATCAGTGAGTAAGTTTTCAAATATATTGTGATCATGCTTGCCTAGTGACATGCAAAAATACAAGTTTTTGCCTTCCATTATATGAAAACATAAAATAATAGCAAGCAATACAAGATGGTATACAGTATTTTGTCAAAATTGTGATAACACCTAACAAAATTTACTATTATAACTTCTTAAGTATAGTTCAATAGTGTTAAATAGAGCCTCATTGTTGTACAATGTTGTATATATTTAATATATAAATTATTATTATTATTATTATTTGGAAATGAAGTCTTACTATGTTGCCAGAATGGCCTCAAGCTCCTGAGCTAAAGTGATCTTCTTGCCTCAGCCTCCAGAGTAGTTGGAACTAAAGGGCCATGCCACTGTGCCTGACTAAATTTTATATTAAATACTTATTTAAATTAAAAATTACTTGAGAGAATGTGTTGTAGGGAAGTAATATTCAAAATGTACTCCATGAAACCAGCAGAAATTCCAATTTTATTTGAAGAAACATTTAAAATATCTTTTTTCTTTTTGGTACCGGGAATCGAACTCAGGACTTTGCGGTTGCGAGGCTGGCGCTGGAACCACTGACCTAAATCCGTGGCCCTAAAATATCTTAATTAATTTAAAGTTTGAAAACTACCAACTGAATATGGAAAGGGAAAGGGATAATTATTGAAGGGTAGTCTAATAAGGGAAGTATTCATGAAACATTTAAACTGAGCCTTGCAGAATAAGATTGGATAGATGTGAACAGGGAAAAGGAAGATTTTCTATTTCAGAGAGAGGAACAGTCAAAGCTCAGGTGTGAATGAACATTGCCAGTATCAAGTTGATGAGAAAACCTAAATAATAGGTATTGGCATTATTAGTACATGTTTTGAAGTTGAATTGTGTGAGAGACAACATAGTATAATGTTTCCCAGAGTGCATTCCATTTCACATGAGGAGGAAGAGATGGTAAATTAATTCCTATTTTTATGTAAGACTCCAGTGAAATTTTAATGCTATAAAGTTACATATTCAGAATCTTCTAGTGGCTGTATCCAGCATATTTTATTTGAACAACAGAAGCTTTTAGTTTCTGGGAATCACTTTTTTTCATGGGCTCTGATTTGAAAATTTCCCATGCCACTCATAATTTTCATGATTTGATTAAAACGGTTCATCTGGCAGACCTCCCCCCTTTAGGATGATTAGATATAATATATAATTATTGTAACTGTAAATTCACTCAACAGTTACTGAATATGTCCTCACATGCTAGGAATTGAGCTTTATAATTCCTCAGATTATTATGTGCATATGACTCTTTATTCTTATTTTCAGTCTGATGTGTGAACATGAGCGTCTCCTAGCCTGTGGTTTTGCTAGAAATTCAGAATCTTCTCTCTCACAGACCCACTGAATCAGAAATTGCATTTTATCAAGATCTCTAGTTGATTCCCTTACGCATTAAAATTTGTTACACACATTCTACTTCATATCTAACACAACTTTTTTCAGTTCTTGCTACTGTTACAGCAAAAAATCTGTTTTTTGAGACAAGGCCCAGGCTGGCCTTGAATTCTTGTATTCAATTAATCTTCCTTCCTCCATCTGTGGAGCTCCTGGGACTATAAGATGTGTCATTGTTCTGGGAAGAAGCTTCAATTTCAAATACAGGTTTTAAGGGCCTGGCAAGTGCAAGGTCCTGAGTTCGATCCTGGTTCTGCAAAAAAAAAAAAAAAAGTAATCAAATACAGTTTTTACCCTCTTGAAACTTTTACCTTCTGATCTTAATTTTGTTTGAAAGAGTTATACTGAATGTACTTAATGTCTCAAATGAGAATCATTTACATGTAAAAGATAAGCTTATGTTTGTCAATCTCCCACAAAATATGTCAAGTAGAATTCATCATAGTTCCAGAGTTTGCCATCTGAGATTTGAATAGAAGGTGTTGAAGTTAATTTTACCTTATATAGAGAACATTTGAGAGTCATGTATCATTTTATTCCATTGCCTTTGTGGTAATTATTTAAAAATTTCCAAGCATTTTTTAAAGGTAATCATACCTAATTTTAACTTTCTCTTTGACTGTTGTTAAATTTTGTTGAGCTCAGAGTAGTCTTGGTATTTCCATGGAGCCAGTTCTTATAATCTTCCTGTCCATATACCTAGTCACTTGTTCAGACATTTTGATTACAGGTATAGATTTTGGTACATTTACCTATTGACTTGCCTTTCTTTTTAAGAAACTTTCTTGTACTATGTTTTATTATTCTAATTTGTAGTAACTCAAAAAGTAAAAGACACTAAAATACTTTTAAGTTACATAAATAATCACAGTAAAAATGAAGACACTGCCAGAGCATATAAAGAAGTGAAAAATCCATCTTTCTCCACGTAATCTCACTTCTTTAGGGTTAAAATTGTTTAGTTTGTATCCTTCTAAACCTTTTTTAAAAAACAGGTTTGTGTTACATAAAACTAACAAAAAAGGTATTGTACACATTCTTTTGGAGAATTGGCTTTTTACTAATTTACTAAAAAATATTTAAGCCAAAGTCAGAACCTTAATATGATGAATATATATATTTTTTTACTTTAGGGAAGAAATCCTTTTTTCTTGGAGCCAGCAATAATTATTACAATTACTGATGGGAGCAAGTTGACTACTACCAGTGGAGTCCAGGATGAGGTAAGTTATGCTTATATCCTATACACTATGTAAATGTAGTTGGAAGATCTTTAATTGCATGTGAGCTGTGGGGTATTGAACACTTTCTGATAGGCTTTCTCTTTGGTGCAGTTTAGAGTTATCTGTCTCTTAGAGTTCATCTGCTTTTGTTGCATAGGGGTGGTCTCCATATTTTCTTGGATAGGAATCCCTTTTGTAAAAGATTTTTGAGCTTCTTAACCCCAATTATATGTGTATTTATAAGTTTATGTGAGAGTGACAGTGTCAGTCTGTATAGTAAATATTAGTTAAAATGAATTACTTTCAGATTAAAAAAAAATAGAAGCAGCATTCTAATGAGTTTCTTCCCATATTTTACTGAATTGTTGTTATAGTTTTGTATCGTTTAACAAAATGTCTGAGATAAATCAACTTTTAAGGAGGAAAGTATTTGCAAACGTTTTCAGTACATAGTTGATAGGCCATGTTGCTTTTGTGCCTGTGGCAAGGTAGTACATCATAGTGGGAGCACAAAGATTGAAGATGAAGAAGCTGCTCACCTCATGGGGAGTAGGAAACAGAGAGGAAGAAATTTGTATCCCAGTAGCACCTTCAAAGACAGACCCTCCCCCCGTGACCTAACTTCTTCAGCTAGGCTCCACTTCTTAAATGTTCTACCTCTCAATAGCATAGACTTTACCTTTTAGTTCTTTTTTATCTTCTTTGATATTTATTATAATGCTGAAAACTGAGCTTATATTTTAAAAAATATTTTAGACATTGTTGGGCCAGGGATTTAGCTCAGTGGCACCACACCTGCCTTGCAAGTGCAAGGTCCTGAATTCAATCCCCAGTACCAAAAAACAATATTTTAGACATTGTATTGAATATGGTAGTCAAGTTCAATACTGATTGCTATTGCTACTTTTCTGAAGGAGAAAGTTTGTGTTAAGACATTTATTTTGATTATGAAGTTGTAATATAGGCCTGTGAGTTCTTTTGATATTCAGGTTTAAGAGTGTTTTTGATTGCTTTTATGGCTTTTTGTTTTGGTTTCTTTTTGAGGTGCTGGGGGACCCAGGACCTTGTGCATGCTAGGCAAGTGGTCTACCACTGATCTATACCCCCAGACCAGTGATGGCCAACCTTTTAGAGATTGAGTGCCCAAAGTACAACCTCAAACCCACTTATTTAAAAATTATTAATCAAAAATTATCAAAAAATGCCAACACTACAGTTAAACCTGAATACTGAGGTTTTAGTTTAGAAAAAACAACTGTTGTCCAGTGTTCTCCTGGAAACTTAGCTCTCCAGCTGATAGAGAGGGCTCTGGGTGCCCACTGCAGCACATGTGCCATAGGTTTGCCAACACTGCCCTAGACCATATATCATTCCTCCCTCCCCCTTTCCTTCGTTGTCCTTCAGAGCCTAGGGATTAAATCAAGGGCCTCACACATGCTAGGCAAGCACTTTATATTCTTAAGCCTTTTTAAAATTTTATTTTGAGACAGGGTCTTACTGAAGTGCTCAGGCTTGCGTTGACTTGAGGTCCTCCAGCCTCAGCCTCTTGATCAGCTAGAATTATAGACAAAGAACCACCATGCCTGGCCTTAATTTCTCAAGAGTCATCTTTTGGGGCAGAAAGAAATTTTTGCTAAACTACTGTGGAATATTTGAACCTGAACAATTATGTAATTCACTTTAAGGAACCTTCCCATTTGTAGAAGAGCATAAAGGTGCTTTTTGTATTGCTCTTGTGTATGTGTATGTGCACGTGCATGTGTGATAGATACATAATCTATGTTTTAATTTGCACTAAGGAATAATAAACAGTTTTCCCTTTATATCATTTTCCTCTTGAAGTTGCCTAACCTTTGCTTTTGGCAAAACTTGATTTTTTAAAATAGTAGATGAGTGAATGTGTCAGTAATTTTCAGGTTAGAGATACTCCTGGTTGGTTTTGGTCATTGTTGATGTGACCTATTACTATTTGTGTATTTGTACATTCTTTTGCTCAAGAATCATGTCATCTACCATGGTATATTTACTCCATTATTGCTACTTTTCAGGAGTAGATGGTCCTGCCGCTTTCAGATAACCCTCATAACATATGAGGAAATACAGAGTCTTACCTTTTATTTTACAGATGAGAAAATTGAGATCCAGGGAGGCTAAGTGATTTGCTTGAGTTACAGCTTTTGCTGTTGCCAAAATCTAGACCAGAATTTATCTAAATTCCAAAGATACCACAGGACCCCCAGACCAGTGCTTTTCCCTAACTTATATCCATTGCCACTTTGATCCTGTTACTATGATCTTAAAATATATCTTCTATTTATCTCATTTCTCATATGTCTCATTTCACCTTTTTATACAAGTGTGATACAGATATTCTGTTCTTACTCATTCAAATATGTTCCATGAATGACTATTATGACCAGAGCATTTCAAGGCAATGAAGGTAACACAGATAAACAGGGTGGATTTCTGGTCCTTAAGTTCACAGTTATATGGCAAGATTGCTTGTGTTTAACAGTTTTGTGAGTGATAAAAGAGAGATACTAAGTATATGGAAGCATTGAAGAGGTGGGGAAGGGTAAATGTTACCTATGATGTGCATGTGTCAAATTCTGTGTAATGCTTTATAGTATATCATGTTTACTGAGTAAATTCAAGGATCTTAAGAATGATTCGATACATTATAATGGTTGGCTCATTTCTTGTATCTGTGAAATTTATAAAGAATCCCAGTGTAAAGTTTTTCTGAGCCTAGAATATAGTTAATGGAAAAACCTTGTGCTGTATTATCTCTTGTCCTGGCTGAGTATGTACAGGTCAAAATGACCCAATTTATCTTATAACTTAACAAAAAAATTAATAGGCATATCATGTTCTCTGTGGCAGTTCATCACTTAGTAATGTGTTACGAGTTAGGAGAGAAACAGCTTTGTATTAAGGATGAAAATCTTGAACTGTATGTGATTATTTTACGTTAATTCATGACTTTATCTTCCTGGGCTTCATGTGGAAGTCTGAGTGTGTTTCTTGTTCAGTGTATCTGGATAACTTTGTCTAGGACTTGTGATGACTGCCTGGATTGGCACTGTATATGTTATTTTTGACCTGTGAAAAATGCGGTTATTTGATAAAACTGGTTGTAATATTTCCACATACGAGGAGTAGGGTAGATACGACATTGGATTCTCTTTTATGGGGAGAGTGTACTGGGAATTGAACCTAGGGGTTTGCTTTTGCTGGGTAAGCACATTAATGCTGAGCTACACCTCCAGCTTTTTTTATATTTTGTTGTGAGATAGGTTGCCCAGGCTGAACTGTATTTCTTACCCTCATAGTTGTTTGTTTTAATGTTGATAAACATATCTGTAGCCAGATATTCACAGCACTAGTCATATTATTGATGTGTCAGATATTTTGGTAGAATCACCAAATTAAAAGAGTTACTGAAAAAAATTTTTTCTGGTTTTTATTTCCTTCTCAGATTCTCTGTAGTCCTGCTTTGTAATGGATAACTGTAATGGATAACTGTTCTAGAAACGGAGCTAACTGTATTGCTCAGAAAGTAGCCCAGAAGAAATCCTGCCAGTACCTTCCTAGTGATGAATGACATTCCAGGAGTGTGTAGCAGTTACTTTTCCTTGACAGTGCTAATAGAAGTATTATTTTTCAAATAGTGACATTTCTATATGCTGAAGAGTCCTTCTAAATCTTTTCATCAATGTTGTGATTGCTCTAGAGGCTAACATTTTAGAGAAGATATTTGCATTCAAATCACTGGCTTTATGACATTAAGTTTTGTTTTTTACTAGCTTTCCCAGGTTTTATGGCCAACTAGGACAAGTACTTTTATAATTTCTTAGGCAGATGTTCGGTTAGAGTATGTATTTCACTGAAGGAAAGAAAAAAAAAGGACATGAGTAATCCCAGCTGTGTACAAATGGTTATACATAGGGGCCTTATATTCTAATTTGTGAGTTCTCTGAGGTTGAGACAGAAGTCCATTGGCTTTTGAGATATGGATTGGTAGTAATGATTTCTCTGGCTTGTTCTAGGTAGTATAAATGGTTTTACCTTTAACTCCCAGTGATTTATAATTATGGCTTGCATTTGACTTGACATTTTGCTCTCAGTATTGGGGATTGAACTGAGGACCTTAAACATGGAAAGTAAACATTCTACCACTGAGCTACTTTCAGCCCTTTTTGAAAATTATATTTTCGGACCAGGGATTTAGCTCAGTGGTTCCGACGCCTGCCTCGCAAGCGCAAGATCCTGAGTTCGGTCCCCGGTACCAAAAAAAACCATTATATTTTGAAAACAGGGTCTTGTTAACCAAGTTGCCTAGGCTGGCCTCAAACTTGATATTTCCTGCCTCAGCCTCCCAAGTAGCTGGAATTACAGATCTGTGCTTCCATGCCTGGCTGTATTTAACTCTTAATGATTAAAAGGCCATCTGGAATTTTTTGAAATTTTCATTTACTATCTGAAATCAGATACCATACAATTTTCTCTTCCTCTAATTTTTTTTTTGGTACCAGGGATTGAACTTCTTCCTCTAATTTTTGTATTCAATAAAATAACTAAGAATATGTGCCAAAGGCTGTCAAAACTATTTTGTGGTAGGAGGTATATAGATATAGATGTTGTTTTTGCTTCTAGGATACTTTGAATTTTAGGGAACTTTCTTTTTTAAAAAGACCTGTAAGAAATTTTGAGGGATGCCATAGTGGTGTGATAGAATATATCAAGCCTTCTATGTATACCTGTCTGAGTTTTTATGTTTATTCTGTTGTATTACTGGGGACTTAATAACAATGTCAAGTTCATCATCTTTCTGATTTGTGATTCAAGTATTCTAAGCATGTACTTCACTGCAAATAGTTTCTGTCAGTTTAACTTTCTAATAACATTTAATAAGAATTTGATGCAGGTCATTTAAATTTTCTTTTTCTATTATCTTTTTAAAATGCTAGGTAAACACAACAATAGACTAATTAAAGAGA